AGGAGGAGGAGGATTCCCCCCTCCTCGCTCGCCGCCGAGTGTAGGGCGGGCGGGCGGGCGGAGGCGGAGGCGGGCGAGCGCACGCAAGCGTGCGTCGCGAGAGGCTATGCATGAGGCCGCGGCGGGTCGATGCCCCCGACGCCGCCCGGGCGCCTCGGGGCTGCCACGGGCGATGCGCCTCGGGTCCGTTTCGCGAGGCTGGCCCGACGGTCTTCTTCGGGAGAGAGAGAGAGAGAGAGAGAGTCAGTATCGTTTATCCGACCCCCATCCCCATCCCCATCCCCTTCGAGACCCCCACCAAATTACCCCCCAGTTAGGGATACACCCTTCGAAACCCGAAGGGGACGGCCTATATCCCTTCCCATCTAGGGGGGTAAGTCGACCAGTGGGGCCCAGGCCACGCCGCTGGGGATGGGGATCGGTTAAACGATACTCAGAGAGAGAGAGAGAGAGAGGGTATCGACAGGCCTCCCTTCGACTCCTCCGGGGGCCCAAATCGAGGAAGAGAAACCGCTGGGCCCCCGCGCTGGGCCCCACCCCGCGGGGCGCCGGCGGCGCCGCCCCTGGCGCGCTCTGCGCGCCAGGGAGGGGGCTCCAGCGCAGGCCCAAGAAATCCGCGCGGAGCGCCAAAAGTTTATGTTTATGGCGTTTTTTCTTCTTCTACAGCCGGGGATCAATGCAAACGGGGGTCAGCCAGAAAGCCGGATCTTGCAGGATCCTGCAGGGCCAGGGTCGCGCTGACCCGGGTCTGGGTGCAGGGTCCTGCAGGACTTGGCAGGATCCTTCGCATAGACCCGAGTTTGGGTGCAGGATCTGCAGCATTCTGCAAGGCCACACTGACCCAGGTCTGGATTGACCAGGGTAGAAGAGCCCCGATCGAGGATGGGATCGACTGCAGAAGCGACTTATTCCAAAATTGATTTTCCGTCGAGTGAGCGATAAGAGGCGTAGATAGCTCTGTAGATCTACGGAGCATTCTGCGCGTTCTCCGCAGATTCGCCGAGCAAGCAGTCGTGGGGCGCATCGGTTCTTCAGTCGATCCCCTGCTCGAGAGCTGTCCCCATGCTGCCGCAGGGCTGCGCCGGGGAAGGGTGGTGGGGGGGTGGGGGCGGCCCAGTCCTGGCCCTGAGCTCGGGCTGGCCGAAGTTTTTTTGACGAGCGCGTGCAGGATTTCGACAGTCCGGCTTTCGTGGGGTGTCTGCAGCGGGAGCCCGCGTCAAGTTGCAGAGCGGATCTCGTGATGGCCCCCGTGAGGCCAGCCCGCGTCCCCCGTACGCGAGTCTTACGTCTCCCCGACTGGTGTGCTGCCGCAGTGGAGCCCCCCATCACTCCGCCGCCTCACGGCTCAAGCAAGCGACACCACGCTCTCGAGCTTCGAGAAAGGCCAACTTGAGCTGGCACTGTTCCCTTGTGGAGTTCGCCATGATGATGTGGGTTCTGCCAGCCCTGGTCATCTTGGGCGGCTTCGTCGCTGAGTCCGAGGCTTTCCTGGTTTCAGAAAGTCGCAGCAGCACCAGCGATGCCTACTACTGCAACCCTCGGCTGACGAACCCGCCGCAGTACTGCCGCGAGGGGACCCTATGCGCCGATATCGCTGGCTGCAGTGCCGACATGGAGAAGTGTCAGTGCCCCGATGGGACCCCTTCCCTGCTGCCAGGGGTGGTTTGCTCAGACAGGTCGGATACCTGGCGCAGCGCGGGCGGCCAGTCGTGCAGCGACTACGTGAGGCACGCGTGGTGCACGGGCACTGGAGGGTACGGCGCTGGCTGGGACGCTTCGTGGGGCTCCTTCGAAGGCTGGGCCGTGCACGGCGCGGGCACCCCTGCTGAGGCTTGCTGTGGTTGCGGCGGCGGCACCACAGAGACGGCGCCACCGTCCGCAACAGCGCCAACAACTTCGACGCCCACGCTGGTACCGTTTGCGCATGCGACACCGGCAGCAATGCAAGCGGCGCCCGCGCCGACGCTGGCATCGACAGGCTCGGCAGCTTCATCGGCGAAGGGCGAGTCTGGCAAGTGCGAAGGGTGGACGTTCGAGAAGAACTGCGGCTGGACGATGGAGACCAACTGCCCGGGCCAGTCGCCTGGCTCTCTCGGTTGGGCGAGCGACGATGGCAGTGAGGGATACGAGTGCTGCTGCGGGCAGCAGCTTTGGAAGACGGATGGTGTGTCTAGTAAGTGCGATGGGTGGACGTTCGAGAAGAACTGCGGCTGGACGCTGGAGACCAACTGCCCGGGCCAGTCGCCTGGCTCTTCGGGTTGGGCGACCGACGACGGCAGCGAGGGGTACGATTGCTGCTGCGGGCAGCAGCTTTGGAAGCAGGCGACCGCGTCACCAGCGCCGTCATCGGCAAGCTCGGCAACAGATTCACCGACGCACGACCGGCCTGGCAAGTGCGAAGGGTGGACGTTCGAGAAGAACTGCGGCTGGACGCTGGAGACCAACTGCCCGGGCCAGTCGCCTGGCTCTCTCGGTTGGGCGAGCGATGACGGCAGCGAGGGGTACGATTGCTGCTGCGGACAGCAGCTTTGGAAGCAGGCGGCCGCGTCACCGGCGCCGTCATCGGCAAGCTCGGCAACCGATTCATCGACGCAGGATGGGTCTGGCAAGTGCGCTGGTTGGACGTTCGAGAAAAACTGCGGCTGGACGCTGGAGACCAACTGCCCGGGCCAGTCGCCTGGCTCTTTGGGTTGGGCCGCCGACGACGGCAGCGAGGGGTACGAGTGCTGCTGCGGGCAGCAGCTTTGGAAGCAGTCGTCTGCGTCACTGGCACCGTCACCGACGCCGGGCGGGTCTGGCAGGTGCGAAGGGTGGACGTTCGAGAAAAACTGCGGTTGGACGCTGGAGACCAACTGCCCAGGCCAGTCGCCTGGCTCTCTCGGTTGGGCGAGCGACGACGGCAGCGAGGGGTACGAGTGTTGCTGCGGGCAGCAGCTTTGGAAGCAGGTCGGCGTGTCCAGCAAGTGCGAAGGGTGGACGTTCGAGAAAAACTGCGGCTGGACGCTGGAGACCAACTGCCCGGGCCAGTCGCCTGGCTCTCTCGGTTGGGCGAGCGACGACGGCAGCGAGGGGTACGAGTGCTGCTGCGGACAGCAGCTTTGGAAGCAGTCGACTGCGTCACCGGCACCGTCACCAGTAAGCTTGCCAACTGCGTCACCGACGCTCGCGCCGACTGCATCTCCAACCCCAGCGCCGACTGTGTCACGGACGCCATCGCCGACTACTTCTGCAATCCCGGCGCCGTCAGCATTTCCGACGCTGGCGCCGACTGCAGCTCCAACCCCAGCGCCGACTGTGTCGCCGACGTCAGCGCCGACTGCATTTCCAGCCATGGTGCCGACTGCGTCACCGACGACGCCAGCGCCGACTGCTTCAACCCCAGAGCCGACGCAGGGCGGGTCTGGCAAGTGCGAAGGGTGGACGTTCGAGAAGAACTGCGGCTGGACGCTGGAGACCAACTGCCCAGGCCAGTCGCCTGGCTCTCTCGGTTGGGCCACCGACGACGGCAGCGAGGGGTACGAGTGTTGCTGCGGGCAGCAGCTTTGGAAGCAGTCGACTGCGTCACCGGCGCCGTCACCGGTAAGCTTGCCAACTGCGTCACCGACACTGGCGCCGACTGCATCTCCAACCCCAGCGCCGACTGTGTCACGGACGCCATCGCCGACTACTTCTGCAATCCCGGCGCCGTCAGCATTTCCGACGCTGGCGCCGACTGCAGCTCCAACCCCAGCGCCGACTGTATCGCCGACGTCAGCACCGACTACGATTCCAGCCATGGTGCCGACTGCGTCACCGACGACGCCAGCGCCGACTGCTTCAACCCCAGAGCCGACGCCGGGCGGGACTGGCAGGTGCGAAGGGTGGACGTTCGAGAAGAACTGCGGCTGGACGCTGGAGACCAACTGCCCGGGCCAGTCGCCTGGCTCTTCGGGTTGGGCGAGTGACGACGGCGGTCAGGGGTACGAGTGCTGCTGCGGGCAGCAGCTTTGGAAGCATGCGAACGCGTCACTGGCGCCGTCACCGGTAAGCTCGCCAACTGCGTCACCGACTCAGGGCGGGACTGGCAGGTGCGAAGGGTGGACGTTCGAGAAGAACTGCGGCTGGACGCTGGAGACCAACTGCCCGGGCCAGTCGCCTGGCTCTTCGGGTTGGGCGAGTGACGACGGCGGTCAGGGGTACGAGTGCTGCTGCGGGCAGCAGCTTTGGAAGCATGCGAACGCGTCACTGGCGCCGTCACCGGTAAGCTCGCCAACTGCGTCACCGACTCAGGGCGGGACTGGCAGGTGCGAAGGGTGGACGTTCGAGAAGAACTGCGGCTGGACGCTGGAGACCAACTGCCCGGGCCAGTCGCCTGGCTCTTCGGGTTGGGCGAGTGACGACGGCGGTCAGGGGTACGAGTGCTGCTGCGGGCAGCAGCTTTGGAAGCATGCGAACGCGTCACTGGCGCCGTCACCGGTAAGCTCGCCAACTGCGTCACCGACTCAGGGCGGGACTGGCAGGTGCGAAGGGTGGACGTTCGAGAAGAACTGCGGCTGGACGCTGGAGACCAACTGCCCGGGCCAGTCGCCTGGCTCTCTCGGCTGGGCCAGCGACGACGGTGGCGAGGGGTATGCATGCTGCTGTGGGCAGCAGCTCTGGAGGCAGGGCGGAGCAGCAGCAGCTCCAGTGCCGATCCCTGCCTTCGCGCCTCCGTCCTCGCCCGTGGCCGCGCCCGCGTCCTCGCCCGTGTCCGTTCACGGCAGGCTCCGGTCGCAGGGCACCGCCATCGTCGACGAGTCTGGGCAGCCCGTACGCCTCCGGGGCATGTCCTTCTATTCGAGACGCTTCGCGTGCACCACCTGCCAGTGTTTTGTGCTCGCCCGACGAGCCGTGCATGGCCCCAGGACGAGGTGGACGCATGCCGAGAGCAGTGAAGGACGGTCCGGCAGGTGCGCCTTCTCTTGTATCCTTTACTGCGACCCGAGCTTCTCCATTCTATCGCCGATGGTACTCAGGCGTGCGTGGCCGATCGTCGGCCCATCATCAGCACCACCAGATCAGTGAGAGGGAGGCTTGCACTCAGGATACTTCCTACATCTTTATACTGATCCACCGCAGGAGTTCAGACACAGCCAGAAGGCGACCTCCAATTGCCTCACGACGGCCCGAGAATGGCCCAGGAGACGCCGAAACGGGTCCGAGAAATTACTTTAGAAAGGCCCTCAGAGGGCCTCAGACGGGCCCGAGGGGGCTCAGTAGGGTTTTCTTGATGACCGAAGCGCGTCCCGTGTTGGGTCCGAGCCAAGTCTGGCTTGTTTTGACTCCAGGTCCGCGCCAAGGCCAGTTCGTTCTCAGATTCTGGAGCCCAAGTTGGGCCCAGAATCGTTGAGCATTGAATCCCAGAGCGCATCACGAACGGCGTACAGTCGGGGCGCTGAAGAAGGAACCCTTCTCGTTTAGGAGTGGCTCATTGTTCCTTAGCTGTTTTACAGTTCGCCTGAGGTGTTCCTTAGTTTTTCGATGCGACATCGAAGTCCAACTCATGGAAAAAAGGGGCCTCGTTGCTTATTTGGGGTTCCTTAGGTCAACGCCTCGATAGACATTCATTGTTGACAGGTGCCAGCGACGCATGTCCCTGTTGTCCTGCAGCAGTCTGCTCGTCCGCCAGGGCACCGCAGGAGCGACTGCGGTGCCCCAGGGATGGGGGCGCGGCGGAGGAGCGGGACGGGGACAGGGAGGAGGCGCCTGGGGCCTCTCTCGGGGTCTGCGGGTTTACGCAAAAGGGGCCCCAGCGACAAGGGGGTGGTGCAGCAGATTTGGTGCAATCGATTTGCGGGGTTGCAATACATGTGGAGGGTGCAATACAGTTCGGGGCGCAAGTGTATTGTCGCACTTCCGCGTGCAACGCAATACTTCACTTGCAATACAAAGCAAAACAATCCTCCGCCGCAGTACATTTGCGATACAATTGCCCCAAGTCGATTGCACCACCCCCTTTCAGCCGGACCCCCTTTTGGGTCACCCAAAGTCAGGAGGGAAAAAAAAACACACAGACACAATGAATCGTCGATCCCAGGAAAATATGGGAAAATATGGGAAGTGGTGGGGAAGACATTAACCCAGAAAATATGGGAAAATATGGGGAATCTTTTTATTTGTGTGTATTTATTTGTGTGTCCCAGGGCCCCTTCACTTGCGCAGGTCCTCGTGGACCTGCTGGCGCCACTTTGGGGGTCGGCCTCTTCAGGGAACTTCTGAGGCCTGTCAGAGACCGCAACGGCGAGAAGTCCACGAGAGGTGTCCTCATACGCGTCGGTCCCGCGGGGCAGTCTTCGATGAAGCAGGGAACCGGTGGACAAAAACACAAGCAGGTACCGATACTGCTATTCCCTGGACCTCACCCCAGGTGCGTGCTGACCAGAAGCTCCAGGCGGGTCTGGCCGTGGGTGAAGTGGAGCTCTCCAGGACGAGCGGCGGCATCGGTACCCGCTCCTCCCCCGAGGAGGCTGGCAGCCCGGGAGTGGCAAATGCCAATGTCGGGCCAGCCGTGGGCGGGACCGAGAGGAGACACTGGGCGCTCAGCGGAGGGCGCGCACCGGGGAGATGGACAGTTTTTTGATTCGCGGGTCGAGAGCGCACCTCTTCCGGTCGAAGCTGAGCAGGCCGCGCGAAGCTTGAATTAACAGATAGGGGGGGACAGAAGGAGAGGCCTCACGACAACCGGGGAGATAGACAGTCGGGGACAAGGCAGGCGGAAGGACGTCGGCGGCAGCAGAGGGCAGGCAGCAGGGTGTGGGATGGTCGGGGACTCCAGCCGAGCGGAGGAGCTTGGCGGCAGCACGTGCCGTCGTGGAGGCCTCCCAGGTCGGTTCGGGCGGTAGTCGCTGCCATTTTGCACTGCCTAGAGGCCTTCGGCCCACCTTGCTACCGCGCATGGGTTGTGGGGCCTCCTGGGAGGCATCTTGTGGGCCTCTTTCCAAGAAGAAAAACGTCATTAACATAAACTTTTGGCGCTCAGCGCGGATTTCTTGGGTCTGCTCTGGACCCCCCTCCCTGGCGCGCGGAGCGCGCCAGGGGCTGTGCCGGAGGCGCCGGCGGGCGGTCCCAGCGCAGATCCAAGAAATCCGCGCGGAGCGCCAAAAGTTTATGTTCATGTTTGTTTTTCTTCTTCTACTCTTGGAGCCCTCTTTGGAGCCTCTTGTGGGCCTTCTGGGTGCCTCTCGGGGGCATTGTGTGGAGGTCTCTCGGAGACCTCCTCGGGCCTCTTGCGGGCCCGCTGGTAGTCTCGGGGGCCATCTTGGGGTTGGCCTGTCAGCCTTTTGGGCCGTCTTTGGACGATCCAAAGGCAGACAAAACAAAGAGTATCTTGTGACTTTCGGCCCATCCCGCAAACTTGCCCTGGTTGGAAGCCTGTTCGGGTCTCTTTTTTGGATGCCTCTCGGGGAGATTTTGGTGGCCTTTCGAGGGAGCTCTTGGAGCCTCGTGGTTGGGGCTCTGGGGGCCCCTCGGGGGCCTCTTCGGGGCCTCGGGGTGGGGGCTCTGGGGGCCTCTTGGAGACCTCTTCGTGGCTTCTTGGCTGATCCTGGGGGCTCTTCGGGGCATGCTGGGGGTCTTGGGACACGTTTGGGAGAAAGCGCTCCCGAGGCATCTCCGCTTTCCCTCTCTTGGGCCCCTCTGGGGGTGTTTCTGGCTGCCACTTGGAACGTCTTGGGGCCCTCACGGGCCGCTTGTTTTTTTTGTTGCGCAGCTGTGCTGTTTGGGGGTTCTCACTTCTCTTGAGGGCTCTCTTGGGTCGCCCTGGGGCGATCTTGGGGACCCGCTGGGCAGTTCTGGAGTGTCGAACGCCCAGGACACGCGAAAACATTAACCTACTTCAAACTCGGGGACCCTTGATCTTGGCATCTCAGTACCCTGTGCAGGACTCTGAAAGGGAACTGAGGGCGCTCCATCTCGCGCCTCGGAACACGGAGGCGGATCTTGGGCCGCGCTCGGGCCATACAGTGAGCGGCTTGAATAAGGAACACTTACTTTTCAAAAGGGGCTCGGTCGTTCCTTAGGTTTGCATGCGTTATTTCATGTTCCTGATGCGTTATTTCTCATGTATTGTTCCTTTCACGCTATTCCTTGGAGAAGGGGGGCTTCGTTGCTTGCTTATCGTTCCTTAGGTCAGGCTGGTGACTGTAGTGGGTCATCTTTGGGCTCCCTAGGGTTTCGGGCGTGCGTTGGCGAGCTCGCGCCCCGACAACGGGACTTCGTACTTCTGGCAAAGCGGAGCAGATGTAGCGAGCATAGCCAAGCATCTCGGATGTCTTGTCACCCCTGGCGAACGGGGGTCGGCAGATTGGTCGCAGTGGGAGCACGGCAGGCAGTTCTACAACGGGGACGCCGTCCGCTGGCTGGTGAGCGACTGGGGCGTGCAGGTCGTCCGCGCCGCGATGGGCATCGAGGGCAGCGGCGGCTACCTGACGAGCCCGGGCCTGCAGATTCGCCGCGTGGAGGCGATCGTGGACGCCGCCGTGGAGCTGGGGGTGTACGTCATCGTCGACTGGCACGACCACCGCGCCGAGGACCACGCGGAGGAGGCGGCGGCCTTCTTCGAGGCCGCCGCACGGCGGTACTCAGGAGGGGAAAAACACACAGACACAATTAATCGGCGATTCCCAGAAAATATGGGAAAATATGGGAAGTGGGGGGGAAGACAGAAACCCAGAAAATATGGGAAAATATGGGGGATATTTTTATTTGTGTGTATTTATTTGTGTGTCCTAATTTCCCTTTAGGTACAAGGGCGTGCCGAACGTCCTGTTCGAGACCTACAACGAGCCCGAGCTGGAGCAGGACTGGGGCCGAGTGATCAAGCCCTACCACGAGAGGACGCCGGGGAAGAACAGTGCATCTGATCGCCACCGCACTCGTAGCCTTGATCCCGAGAGGAGCAGGAGCAGCGCACTCGAGGGGAGCAGCGGCTTCGTAAACATAGCAGCAGCTCGGATAGCTGCGCGGATGCCTCGGGTCCGCGCTGGACCCCCAGAGGGGCCATGGGACCCGGCGCGCATCCAGGGAATTCCTCGACGGCCTCCGAGTCTTTGCGCTTACGTCGGCGGCGAGCACGGGGCAGGGCGTGGGTGCGGGCGTGGGTGTGGGCGTGGGCTCGGGCGTGGGCGTGGGCGTGGGTGTGGGTGTTGGGCGCGGGCGTGGGCGCGAGCGTGGGCGTGGGCGCGGCCGTGGGTCGGCGGCGAGCGGGGGGGGGGGGAAGCGGGAAGGAGAGGGCCTCCTCGGAAGGCGGGGGGGCCTCTCGGAAGCCCTCGGGCCTTCTGGTCGGTGCTCGGTGTCTTCGGGGGAAGGCTCGGACAGCCTCGCAGAAGGCCGGGGGACTTCCCAGCCTTCTGAGAAGGCCCGCCCCTCCTCACTTCCCCTTTGGGCCGCCGCCGATTATGTCCTTCTCTGTTCCCCTAGGATGGTCGGCGTGATCCGCGCCCACAACGACAACCTCATCATCATGGGCTCGCGCTGCTGGTGCCAGTGCGTGGACGAGGCGGCCGAGGACCCAGTCGCCGGCGACAACCTGGCCTACTCCCTCCACTTCTACGCGGGCAGCGAGGCCCACCGCGAGAATCTGCGCACCCGCGCCAGAACGGCGATAGCACACGGGGTGGCTCTGTTCGCCACCGAGTGGGGCGTGTGCAGCCCCGTTGAGCAGGACGAGAAGGACTTCGAGGAGTCGCAGCGCTGGCTCTCGGAGGGGGAAAAGGCACCGATGCCGCTGCCCTTGGCTCGTTTGCGCCTTTTCGGGCCTCCTGGGAGGCCCTCGTCGCCACGTCTGGACTCGCTTCGAAATCCTGGTCAGAACCCACCCGGGAAGAGGTCCAGGGAGCAGAGGTCTTGGTACCTTGCTGCCCCCCCCACCTTTGCTCGGACCTGTCCCCGACGACCCTGTCTCCGACCCCAGTGGCCGTGTGCCGGCGGTCGCTCGTTTCCTCCAGCTGGCTGTCCCCTGGCCGTCTCCCGTCTCTCCGTTGGGAGACCCACGCGCCAGTTATCATGGCCCTCTCGCATTTGGCCGTCTCTAGCAGGCCTGGGAAGTTTCGTGAAGAGGCCCATGACGGCCCCGATTTCGGCACCACCCAAGCAGTCTTACAGTGGGGGCCCCTGCCAAGAAACACCCTGCTTGCCTCCAGGGTGCCTTGGGTTTCTTGGGTCTCGATGGTTTTGCCATGGAAAGCGTGACGTTCCCACACCAAAAATCAATGGACGTCCTGGGGTCTCAGGGCTGGGTTTCTCGTGGAAGGTTTCTTGTGGACTGGCCTCCCCTGCACTAGTACGTCCTTGTGCGTCCCATGCTTGGGCGCCAACGGCGCCCCCCCGGCGGGGGGGGATCCGCAACCCCCCTCCCGGGGGGGCGCGTCCGCAAGCCTTACGTCGGGCCTATCCCTCTACAGGAGGAAGATGCAATAATACTAGACTTATCCCAGTGCGACCCTACCTAGGAGTTGGAGCCCCTAGGAAAGCAGAATTAGTAGTAACAGTAAAGCTAAACTAAAGCTAAGCTAAAGCTAAGCTAAAGCTAAACTAAAGCTAAGCTAAAGCTAAGCTAACGCTAAGCTAAAGCTAAGCTAAAGCTACACTAAAGCTAAGCTAAAGCTAAGCTACAGCTAAGCTACAGCTAAACTACAGCTAACCTAAAGCTAAGCTATAGCTAAGCTAACGCTAAGCTAAGCATAAGCTAAATCAAAGCTAACTCTAAGCTAAAGCTAAGGTACAGCTAAGCTAAAGCTAAGGTAAAGCTAAGCTAAAGCTAAGGTAAAGCTAAGCTAAAGCTAAGCTAAAGCTAAGCTAACGCTAAGCTAAAACTAAGCTACAGCTAAACTAACACTAATCTAAGTTTAAGCTAAATCTAAGCTAAAGCTAAGCTAAATCTAAGCTAACGCTAAGCTACAGCTAAGCTAACGCTAAGCTAACGCTAAGCTCAAGCTAAGCTAAATCTAAGCTAAAGCTACAGCTACAGCTAACGCTAAGGGACTGGGGGAAGCTAAGCTAAAGCTAAGCTAAAGCTAAGGTACAGCTAAGCTACAGCTAAGCTAAAACTAAGCTTTTGCTAAGCTACAGCTAAGCTAAAACTAAACTAAAGCTAAGCTACAGCTAAGCTACACTAAATCTAAAGCTAAGATAACGCTAAGCTTTTACTAAGCTAAAGCTAAGCTAACGTTAAGCTACATCTAAGCTAAATCTAAGCTACAGCTTAGCTAAAGCTAAGCTGACGCCAAGCTAAATCTAAACTAAAGCTAAGCTAAATCTAAGCTCAATCTAAGCTCACGCTAAGCTAAAGCTAAAGCTAAAGCTAAGCTTAAGCTTAGGTAAAACTACACTAAAGCTAAGCTACAGCTAAGCTAATTCTAAGCTACATCTAAACTAAAGGTACAGCTAAAGCTAACCTAATGCTAAAGCTCAGCGAAGCTAAGATGAAGGTAAACTAAGCTTAGATAAGCCTGAGCTAAGATGAAGCTAAGCTAAGCCAAGATGAAATAAGCTAAGCTAAGATGAGATAATCAACGCTAAGCTAAGGGGACGTAACTGGGGGAACCGCGGGGCGGATGCCGGGGGAACCGCCCGGGGCGCGTTCCACTGCCCGGCCCTTTTAAGATACAGGGTACTTCAGATTTTGTAATAACGGGAGGGGGGTCTCATTTCGGGGGGGGGTCTCTTCCAGGCTATCTTGGAGGGCCTGGGGGGTCTGGGGACGATGTTTTGGAGGGTTCTCCCACGGGGGAGGTCTGAAATGGCTTGTCTTGGAGGGTCCAGACCCCCTCCCTTTTATTACGAAATCTGGAGTAAGAACCCTTCTAGGCAGAGCCTAGGTAGGGAACAATTGTCTGGGGACGTTTCCACTTTGGGGGTATAGTTTAATTTTTTTTTTGTTTTGTCGTCCAGAACCCGCCTGTAGGAGGACATGCCCGAGCTGACGCAAGCCCCTCTCTGGGTCCTTCGGTCCCCCCCAGGCTCACCTTTTTTGCAGAGAACGGCATCTCCGACGTCAACTGGGCACTCTCCGACAAGGAGGAGGGCTGCGCCGCGCTCGTGCCCGGGGCGAGCCCCACGGGCGGCTGGGGCGCCCCCGAGCTCACCGAGGCCGGCGCCTTCATCCGCAAGACGCTGCGGGCCTCCGCTGGCGTCGCTGACGGCTGCGAGAGCCTCTGCGGCCTGACCCGCACCGGCCACCTGGGCTGCTCGGAGCTCGGGGAGGAGAAAATGCTAGACGCACGAAGACTCTCAGAGGCAACGATAGGGTGGGAATAGGCATAAGGGGGGATGCATCGACGCCCAATCGCCCATGGATCGCCGATAGGGGCCCGGTAGCTCCAACCTGCCCAGGAAGGTGCGGATTCGCTATCGAGGGCCCATCGCCGATCTATCGGCGACGTACGATTCCAGGTCGACGCATCCCCCCTATGCTTACCAGCCTCGAACCTATCCCTATCCCTAAGATTGACACGCCAAAAGGCGATGACAGTCTTGCGGGCCCGCCCTCGAAAAAGGCAGGGAATCCCCGAGATTGGCATCGTGACGAGGAGGTGCCCAGCACAGGGGTAGGGATCTGTTCCAGGCTGGTAATGTGCCAGCCCCCCCCCCCTATCGGTTGACGGGCTTGTTTTCCACCACCACCACCATAAGTTGGAGGGGGAGGGGGTCCTCCACCTCCTCCTCCTCCTCGTCCTCCTCCTCTTCCTCCTCCTCCTTCCTCCTCCTCGTCCTCCTCCTCCTTCCCCCCTCCAACTTATGGTGGTGGTGGTGGGAAACAGGCCCATCATCGGCGCCCCCCAGGCTCGGAGTCCGCGCGGACTCCCTGGGTCGACGCCGGGGCCCCCTCCCCCGGCGGGCGGAGGGCGCGCCAGGGTCGGCGCCCGGGGCGCCGCCCGGGGGGCTCCTGGGCGCCGACCGCGCGAGCTCCCGCGGCTCTGTGCTGCAGGAGGCGAAAGCTCACCCCCACCCTCCTTGCCATCCTCCTCCTCCTATTCCTCCTCCTCCTCCTCCTCTCCTCCTCCTCTCCTCACTGTGCTCCTCCTCTCCTCTCCTCTCCTCTTCCTCTCCTCTCTTCCTCTCCTTTCCTCTCCTCTCCTCCTCTCCTCTCCTCCTCTCCTCTCCTCGCCTCGACTCTCCTCCTCTCTCCCTCTTCTCTTCTTTCCTCTCCTCTCCTCTCCTCTCCTCTCCTCTCCTCTCCTCTCCTCTCCCTCTTCGGAGGCCCAGGCAGAAAGGCAAACGCCCAGAAGCGTCCCGACGCCCATCCCCGAGCCTGCGATTCGAGGGGTCGGGACTGGGGGTGGGGGTGGGTTTTCTCCATTCCTGGACTCCGAAAAAGCACCCCCACCCCCACTCCCGACCCCCCTGGATCGCGGGCTCGAAGATGGGATCGGGACTGGGGGTGAGGGTGGGTTTTCGCCTTCTCGATGTTTGTGTCGGTGTTTGTCCCCCCAGGAGCGCCACAGCGAGGGCTTCTGCGAGGGCAGCTACAGCGCGATCGGCGAAGGGGAGTATGCCGTCTGCACGTGGGCCGGCGGGCGATGCCAGGAGCCACAGAAGTCAGGGGCAACGGTAGGTGGGGACAAGCATAGGGGGGGATGCATCGACCCCCTATCATTCATTGATCGCAGATATCGGGCCCCAACCCGCCCAGGAAGTGCGGATTCACGATCGGGTGCCGATCGCCGATCTATCGGCTGTATATCGCCGATTCCAGGTCGATGTGGCCCCCCTATGCCAGTCACCCCCACATCCATGCTCCTCAAGGAGGCACCGATACTCCGCTAGCGTGCCTGGCCAGGGCTGTGCTGGGCCCACGGTGTCCTGAGGGCTGGGGTACTAATGACAAGGTGCCTCAAACAATGCGAATCCACCATTGGATCCCTTTCTATCCTTAGGACCCCATCTTGGAACCACCTGGCATGAGGCAGCGATGCGCCGCCAGCGTGCCTGGCCAGGGCCGTACTGGGCCCCAGGGCGGCGCATCGCCCCCCCTTTCCCCCTTGCCTGGGGCAGGGGTGGGGTTCGCCGTCGCGGGGCCCAGGGTTCATGGGCAACGTTAGTCAGTCACGCGCAGGGAGGGCAGAGGGGAAGTGGAGGAGAAGACGACGGTCCCGAAAATACGAGAAAATATTGGGAATCCTGGGATGCGTGTCTACTGTGAAGGCCAGACGGCCGGTGCCGCCGACCCAGACTGAGGCCGACCACCACGACGACAACGACAACGACGAGCTGATGACCTTGCCACAGGCTCGGGACACGGTGCGGGCGGAGGAGGAGGAGGAGGAGGAGGAGGAGGAGGAGGAGGAGGAGGAGGAGGAGGAGGAGGAGGAGGAGGAGGAGGAGGAGGAGGAGGAGGAGGACGGGGTGATGATGAGGAGGAGGCGGAAGCGGCGGCGGCGGAGGATGAGGTGGAGACGGAGGCGGAGGCGGAGGCGGAGGCGGAGGAGGAGGAGGAGGAGGAGGAGGAGGAGGAGGAGGAGGAGGGGAAGGAGGGGGAGGGGGAGGCGGAGGCGGAGGCGGAGGCGGAGGAGGAGAAGGAGGAGGAGGAGGAGGAGGAGGCTGAGGCGGAGGCGGAGGCGGCAGCGGCGGAAGAGGAGGAGGAAGAGGAGGAGGACCAGTGTAAACCCAGGAGTCATCAACGATGTTGGAATAAACCCTTCCTCCAAACTCCCTCTTCATCAGGGTTCATTTCCACTGAGGGAACTGCCTCGTTGGAAGACAGCCGTTCGAAGACCCTGAATCATGCGAACGCATTGCTCTGGGCATTCCAAGGCCACGGCTCAACCTGACTGGTGCATCTTGACGATCCTGAATCGTGCCAGAACGCCGTTCCTGGGACGTCAACACTGCGAATCAATGTAATCGTTGCACCCTCATAAGCTTGATTCCCTCCAAAACACAATTGTTGGTACGCTGATCATGGGAACCCGTGGAACTCTTGCAAATTGTAACAACGAGTTCGCGCGGCGCCAAGGCGAGAGCCACATTTTGAAAAGGAACCACCCTCAATCAGTGAACCTCTTGCAAATTGAAAAACGAACGTGCACGGCGCTAAGGCGAGAGCTACACTTTGAACACCACTCGCCCTCAATCCGTGAAACTCTTGCAGCAGTTTGGATCGACTGTGCGCGGCGCTAATGCGACAGTCACATTTTGAAAACCACTCGCCCTCAATCCGTGAAGCTCTTGCAAACCGTTCAAACAAACGTGCGCGGCGCTAATGCGAGAACCACATTTTGAACACGACCCTCCCTGCATCTTTGAAGCTGTTGCAGTGATTTACCTTCAAGGCTATACGTACATGGTGAGGAAGTCTAAGGCGAAACGGCCGACCCGCCCTAAAAACTGGCCTCGGGTGCGACAGGGAGACATTATCCACAAGAGAGGGAGAGAAATGGTGGAGGAGGAGGAGGAGGAGGAGGAGGAGGAGGAGGAGGAGGATGAGGAGGAGGAGGAGGAGGAGGAGGAGGATGAGGAGGAGGAGGGAGGAAGAGGAGGATGAGGGGGGAGGTGGGGAGGAGGAGGAACAGGAGGAGGAGCAGGAAGAAGTGGATGACGGAGGAGGAGGAGGAGGAGGGAGGAGGAGGAGGAGGGAGGAGGATGGAGGAGGAGGAGGAGGAGGAGGAGGAGGAGGAGGAGGAGGAGGAGGAGGAGGAGGAGGAGGAGGAGGAGGAGGGACGAGGGACGAGGCCTGGCGCAGCCGTCCGTCGGGACGAAAAGCTGGCGGCATGGCCGAGGCGGCCAGTCCTCAGGCGAGGACGAAGAAGGCGTCCACCACGAGCAGCACCGTGGGCCCGCCCCCGAGAAGCGGGCCAGACGGGCCATCAGCGTAGCCGAGGACGCCGCTCCCGCTGCACTCCCCTAGGGAGCCAAGCGGGCCGTAGAGGTGCTGACGGTCATCACAAGGGCGCGGAGGACCCAGCACAGGATGAAGTGCGCGGAGTTGCCATCGATGAAGTGGGCGAACTCACTGCACAGAACACGACGTGGTCAAACACCTCCGTCATGAATTCGAGCCAGTCGCAGCACGAACGTCACGGCCTGAACCCCACCCTGGATCAGCGCGAGGTACATGCCCCGCAAGACCTGCAGGCAGTCCAGCAGCCGCTCCGTCGCGTGCATCAGCGACTGGCGCCTGCAGCGTGAGTGACACATTCTCCTTCGGGTGTAGGCCTCGAAGGAGCCGCTTCCTCCTCGACTTGATGTTGGAGAGGTAGGTCTTCCCCTTCCCCTCTCCCGTGGGCGCTCCCCCGCACATGGCCATCAGCTGCTTGGACACGCCGCCGCCAGACCATGCCACGCACACCTCGCAGAAGACGGTGGGCCCGGACGACGGAGACGATGCCCGTTGCAGACGTGCACGTCGGTGGAGTCCCATTCAGAGACCAGCAGCTCGGCAGCACGATCGAGGCCAGGCACGGTCTCTGACCCTCGACCTCCAGCGTGCAGCTCCCAGCCTTCGGCATGCGACCCTCGCCCGGCTCGATCAAGAGCGTCCATGGCAAAGGCACCTGCAGCAGAGACCTGGGCCCTGGTGGCACCACAGAACTGGATCATGGCCTCCGCACGCAGCTCGTCCACCCTGTTGGCCAGGCACGGGGCACGAAGGTAGAAGCTCCACGCATCCGTTGAACCCGAACTGGTACGTCTCGCACATCGCCTGCAGACAAAGGAGCCATCTCGCAGCTTGGCAACGACGTGGGACGTGACCTGCACGGGCGGCTGCTTGACCTCCTTGGGACGCCACGGTGCGTCCGACACCTCTGGCTCCCACCTGCCCACCTTCAGGGTGCGCTGCATAGCCCAGCCGATGTACGAGGCAACCTTCTTAGCGAACACGATCTCCGCCTTGTAGATGTCCTCGTAGACCTTAGGCGGTGCGTGTGAATCTGCACCGCGCCTGGCAAACCAGTCGGCCCACATATTGCCAAGAAAATGTACTGGGCTGAGATCGCGCTCGATGTAGTCGTCGATGCAGCGGTGGGCAGGGATCCAATGAACCTGCGGCCGCCGTACTTGGGCACGGAGAGAGCGCCAGACCGTCGCATGAGCAGCAGCCGCTCCCTGAAGTTCTGGACCCCACGATGCCGCCTCCGACTCCAGCGCCAGCAAATCAGCGAGCACGACCTCCAGCTTGGTACCGAAGTGCCGCACAGCCATGAGGAGTGCGAGCCCCCCCGACCTGCCGACCGTCTGCAAGGGCCCTGGCAACGGCCCGTACACCGCACGTAGCGGCCAGCCCTGCGCCGACACCTGCACAGCTGCCCATCCGCACCGTCGTATTTCTGGTTTAGCCGCCGCTAACCCAGAGCCGTCGGTGTAGACAACGTTGCCGAACTGCAGCTCCTCGGTGTTCCAGTCGCCCCAGAAGTGCGTCGGCAGGCCCGTGGTGACCTTTGGGAGGGACGGCGGCACACAAGGAAGGCACACCCCCCACCTCGAACTCGTCGAACGAAGTCTGCAACACCACCTTTGTCATGCATGAAGTCACGGATCTCCACGAACTTGTCGGGCACCACCTCTCCTGCGACCTCGGTGTCGTCCGCTGGGGCCAGCACCTCCTCGCAACCGAGGAACCTGTGCCCAGGTGAATCGCTCGGCGCACCACGCGCCAGGCGAGCCGCCGAGCCTGCCAGCTTCATGTCGTACTTGGCCTGCCTGGTCCAGGGAACACCAGCCCAGTGTGCGCGCAAGCTGGATGCCGTCGGGCCTTCAGAGACCGCGCCGACTTGGCCCCAGGACTCTGCTGTAGGGCCCGAACCCACAGCTCAGCGTTCTCGCCCAACGGATGCTCGAAACGCGACATGGTACGCCGCCCGTTGCCATCGCTCGATCGACTCGACCAGGTGGCATCTAAGATCTCGAGGACTGATGGCCATGAGGTTGAACTTCTCGTCCCTGTCGTTGACCAGAACCGTCGACGAGTGCATATACCAATCTATGCGCCGCAAGGTGAGGATAGTCACCGAGATCGGACCTCTCGCATAGGTCCACGTCGCCTTGTCTTGCCTCACCATCTGGGTGGTGATATGTGCGCCCAGGCATTGTGCAGCTTGCTCAGCGACGTCCTCTGCTCCCAGACGGTGGCGGCGTATCTGCAGATGATGTCGCACGAGGGCATATAGACCGGGTCGAGCTCCTTTGCCTTCTGCGCCGCCAGGTACAGCGTGAGGCTAGAAGAGCCAGAACGCGCTCCGACGAGGCGGTCTGCCTCAGCCCGGATCTGCTGGAGGTGTGTGTCCGAGAGGCCAGCCGCGCCAGCGCCATGGCCCGACTTTTTTGCCCGTGGCCTTCTCAAGCATCTGCAAGCGACGGCGTCGAGTAAAGATCTCAGCAATACGCTGCGAAGTGAGCCGCCTAACCTTGCGCGCTCCACATAGGTCGTGCCCAAGGTTGCGCATCCAGTTCTTGCATTTGAGGCCCCTAGCCCCGCCGTAGTTCTTGCGCGCCAAAGCCACAGAAGTACTGGAAGGAACATAACCCGACTTCTCGACCTGAATGATGATGCCCAAGCTTTTGGCACCCTCCCGAAAGCGTGTGATGAC